GACAAAAACCCTCTAGCTCTACTTTGATCTGCTGATAAGACTGTTGCAACTTCAAAATTTCTTGATAAAGGGAAAAATATACTCTTCTGAAAAATCAAACTTAGCTTGAATTTTTGAATTTTACTACAACCAAAAAATAAAAGCTTAGTGCAATGACAAAGTAAAAATTGGTAAGAATTTCTATAAGTGTAAGCATTTCAATATTATCTTGAATAAAGATTATCTGTTCAATGATTTTTAGGAAGACCTTAAATATCCAAGATTATAGAATTAATTAGAACTTTAAAATATTTACAGAAAATCTATAAAAGAAATAGCTGCCCTAAACAACATGTTTTTTTTTCAAAAATTGAATATTTTTAATATATAAACAATAATCTTATGGCTAAAGATGGGTCACTAAAGTATTTAGCATATAAAATTTATTTTCTTTTACATCCATACCCCCTAGAGGACATAATTCCTAGCTCTTTATTTCAATAGGGACATAATTCCAAAAATAATTTGTATAAATATTTAAAACTATAAAGAACTTTTATATGTAGTTTTTTTTTATTTCTTAATATAGAAATAAAAATATTTAATAATAAGGGACATTTGAATTATGTCCTTACAAATAATTTAGGAACCTATCTTTACTTATGGCTGTCTATATTATTTTGGTTGAAAATCTACTACAAAAATTTATAAAGATATAAATATTATATCGGTTCTTATGATCTTTTACAAACTATTGAATTGCAATTTTTGAATATCTATTAGAAACTATAAAAAAAAAATAGAATTCTAACTTTTGTGAATGCTTATTACTTAGAAGAATTAATAAAAATATTTCTTACAAAAGATAACATTATACTTAATCTCTTATTTTACAGAATACTATTTTAAGATATCTATTTGCACTTATACTATTTTTGAAAAAATAGAAATTAACCAAATCTATAAAATCTGATCTATTACTCTATGCTTAATTCATCATTTATCACATATTAATTATATCTCTCTATATAAGAATAATTTGTGAAACTTATAACCTAGTAGAAAAGAATTGTTATATCTAATTTTCACCCAGATCTTCATTATACTTGTTCAGTTTTTATTAGTATTTATCTTTTATTCTAGAATAATCTTTATATTACTGATCTATTATCTCTAAGTATTATGCTTTTTGTGCTATCTTTACTTTAGAATATTTTTTATTTTTCTTATTTATCTATAATTACTTCTCTTTGCCAAAGCATTTTTTTCTATGAAAACATATATAATTAATTGTTTTGATGAAGATAATATTTCTTTTATAATTCAAATAGCTTATATTTAGCATATACTCAAATTATATATTACAAATATATATATATAAATGCCCCCAATTCCTCCTGTAATTGTAAGCTTAAATTTCCTCTTAATTAATAAAATAACTTGCTTTTTACAAAACAAATAACTATTGTCTTTTTTGCTTAACCTCATATATCTTAAAACTGTACTAATTATAATATATTTTTATGAGCCTTAGCATATCACATTGATTTATTCATGCAAAATGTCTTCCTGCTATTAGTTTTTCATCTATATTTTTATTTTGAGGTAGAATAATATATCAGTTTTAAGGAATTTTATTTCAAAGATATAAATTTTTTGATTATATAAAAGTTATTAGATTATTGTAAATATGAATATATTGAAAAAAAATTGTTATTTCGAATTGAAAAATTATTTTGATTGATAATATTTATTAGAAAAAGTTAAAAGAGTTTAAGATAAAACTTAGAAAGTTCAATTTTAATTATATAATTATTAAATAGTTTTTGAAAGTTGATATAAAAAAAAATAAAATATTTTTTTTATAATATCAAATCCATTTTATAAAAAAGTTTTTTTTGGATTTTTTGACTTATATTAAATTGGTTTTGTATCTTTATACTATAATAAAATTATAATTTTATATAATTAAAAAGTGAATTTATCTATATATAAAAAATTTTTTTAATTGAAATTTAAATATTTTTGCTTTTATTTAACATTTTTTTATATTTAACACTTGTTAAATATTTTAAAATAGTTGAAAATTAAGTTATCCATATTTTTGAATAAAATAAATAGATTTTAATAAATATATTGATATATTGTATTAGATATTTTGAAGTTATTTTTGGAAATAATTATTTTTACTTTTATATTTTATAATTCCATTTTTTTAATTTTAAACATTATAATAGATAGTAAAGATCAAAATTTTAGTAAGTATATTGTAACATGGGAAGTGGCAATGTGAATGTCACCAACACCAGTTACCAAGACATGTCACATGCCATAATTAAAACAAGCCACGATAAATAATAGCCAGCACACATGAAAATATGGGAGGCTTTGGTAGGAAATATCACATAAGCAAAGGAAGACCAGGTGAAGTTACGTGATTTGTCTCTGCTTGGTAAAATTAATTAATTATACAAGATGATGATAAAAAAATAATGTGTTATATAATAGTTTTGCTACAATTTCATTACTTTATTTTTTTTTTTAATGCTAAGTGAGGCCTTCCTCATGCTTTATTGATAAAGTAGTTAATGTAGTACATTTTACAAAATCAAATAAAAATGGGATATATGACTATATATATTGGTCTACCACCATAACAGATATATCATTTGAAAAACCTTAAGACAAGAAAAACATGAGGAACTATCTGTTAAAAAATAAAAAATAAAAAAAACATTCAGGCAGAATCACCATTATGAAAGAGTATAAAAAGTTTGATTAAGAAAGAGAATGTTTATATAATGAAATTATCTATATACTACTCAAAAGTGTAATGTCAGATGAGATATATAATTGGTGTTTTATGATGAGAAGAACATTTTAATGATGATATATGATAGAGTTCAAGGTATATTATCTTTTATCCAACAATCCCTCCCACAGGGCATAGATACAATATGTCTACCTAGGTCCAAGGCTTCCTTTTCAATAGTTGGGTGCAAATCCAACACGATAGCAGAGTACTGGCATAGGCTGCCAGATTATGGGGCGCAACTCCCTAGTATTTTACTTTTACTCAAAATAAGATTTCTCTTATTCATATTGATCAGGCTTTAGCTGCCTTTTTTCTTTAACGGTAGCATTTTTGCTTGTGGGCACAACTCCATTGTTGAAGATAATGTTAATAATTTTATGTGATTGGACATTATATTGTGTTATGGCTGTGTCGTCAGTGTTTTGGTTTTGGTACTGCCAGAACCTGCGCAAGACAATAATTACACGCTCTTCCAATCCGGCGTTGTTATGTTGTTTTGATTTTGTTTTTGTGATACGAGATATGATTGGTGTATAGTGGATTATAGATCTTTTGGAAGGGGTAAACTGATTTCGGTTTTTTGTATGAGAAAAATTTTGTTGGCGAGAACTAATGACTAGCCAGAGGATATGGAGAATCTTTCACTAGTCATTATCAGTAGAAAACAAAAACTCTAAAAAAATAAAATACTGTCTCTTAATAAATATATAGTTTTTGAAGAAAGGAGTGTTTATATTTTGGGATAGTTTTTAAACAATATGTTTGAAGGCGTGTAAAAAAAAACCTTAGTGGAAGCTTACTAAGTTTCATTTTGGTAAAGCAAAAGTTTGTCCGAAAAGGTTTCAGCTCTCCCCTAAACCTCTATCTCTTCTTCTTGAGAAGTTAATCGGGACCCTTGCATCCTGCAGTCCTTGGACTATTTACCAGTACTTTCATCCTGTAGTCTTTAAACTGTTTACCAATCCATGGTTCTTGGCATATTACTCAAAAAGGAAATTTTTTACGAATTGGAGTGTTGTGGGAAAGAGTTTTTTTTTTTTTATTATATAATTTTTTTCATTACTTTATTTTATTTTTTATTTTTTGTTTAATTTATTTTTTTATTGTAAATACTTATATAATTACTGGACTTAATGTATATAAGAATTATGATTGTATTAAAAAGAGAAAGACCATTGGAAAAAAAATTAATAAAAATTATTTTCGGCCATAATCAAATCCATCTCACCTATAATAAAAACACTTATCTTCATTATGCAAATTTTAGCTTTTATTAGCGACAGACTCACCGATACTAGTGACAATATATAGCATGGAAACTAAATATACTTTATTGTTTCAATTATGAAACAAAGCTTTTGGTATTTTATTAATAGAGAATGACATTATAATTGATACAGTGTAAAAATTTTATTAAAGATTAATAAACAAAAAAAATCAGCTTATTTTATATTTTGAGTTCAAATTTAAATTTAGTTTACATTATGAAAAGTTAATACTAATTTTATTATATAATATAAATTCCAATTTTTTTTTCAAATCTGCTATAAATCTATAAATTAATATAATAATATAATATTATATTATATTGTTTTTTAAATTGCAAATTTAACAATAAACATTGTAAAATTATTATTTAGTTATAATATAATAATACTTTTTATTAATTTATTAATTTTGTTAATTTTATTTGTTTTCAAAAGAATTATTTATAATAGAAAAAAATTCAAAGTTAATAAAAACAGATCTCAATCAAATAACAAAACGTCACCACTTACCTTTATCTTTAATTATGAGTAATTGTTATGCAATTTTCTGTTAGTATCAGTGACAGATTCATGTTATACTATAATTAATTTATTAATACATGAATTATTAGTGTAACTATCGTCGCGTCTTAACCATTTATTATTTTTTTTCTTTGCCTCTTATATTACTTAAAATTTTTATTGTTCAGAATTAATTGTATTCATTTTTTAATATCATTTTTTATTGCTTATACGCTTTTGACATATTATATAAATTAAAATATAAAATATACATACAGTATAATAGATGCAATCTCATTTAATATTATCCGCAAATACGTACAATATATAACAAAATTGACGAATCGAACGTGTTTTTTTATTAGACAGAATATCTCTGACATCTTTCTTATCATTTTAACTTTATATGGTTCTAGTGTACAAAAGTTTCTATTTAACTATTCAATTGGAATACTTTGTGCCCAATTAAATCTATTCAAAGGATCATACGTCGCTTTGATCTCAATTAATTTCGTAAAATGATATCCATAATACCTGGTTCCCCAATCACTCAAATCCTTATCAATATATAATTGATAACTATGATAAGAAGTATAATTTCCTTGGAATTCTGTTCCAAACTTATTGACAGCATTCACACATTCTTCCCATAAATCTTGACTGACGCCCTTTAATTTCGTCTCTAATTGAATCACATATAAAGAGTCCCTGTGAAAGAATGCAGATTCGTCCGTTGAAATCTCATTTACCCTACCACCTGCATATAATTCAGTCAAAACCACTGTCTTGCATTTTGACGAATTGATATAGTTTTGTAAAAACGTCAAACCCTCAGTTGTTAGGCCCGGCGAATCGACAAAAAATGACTTTTGTTTAAACGGTTCGGGATAAAAGTATGGATGCAAAACGGCGGTCTCGTTACCATCACCAACAAAGTCTATAACTGTATCCCACCAACCTGCCTCTATGAATACTGGTTCCTTTATGGGATTAAGATTTATGAATTCTTCTAAAAGGGATTTCGTTTCATCAAGGGGTCCAAAGTTTGATCCGTGAATGGTTAATTTATCAGTTTCGTCATTTTTGTCACATTCGTTTCCCTCGTAAATTAAATCAGAGAAAAGGGAAAGGTACAAAGAGAAATTCTTATTTAATGTTGGTCCCACTGTACTGAAGGTGTCAAAAACTTTTTGTGCATCACTCGTGGCATAAGTAAAGTTGAAAACGGTGACCGTTTCTGGTGCTGGGTACACTTTCATAGTAAAAGATGTTACTACACCGTACCCAGCATTACCAGCACCTCGAAGTGCAAAAAAGAGATCCGGATGTTGAGTGGAATTAACTGAAAGAAATGAACCATTGGCTATTACAATCTCAGCTGCTATTACATTATCTGACAACATTCCATATTTTCTTCCTAAGAATCCGTATCCCTACATAATGATATTCACTGTTATTAAAATCAAAAGAATAATATACTTAGTAGGGTATAATGATACCCACTCCACCTGTTGCCTGACCGCCAACTCCGACTTGTGGGCAAGATCCGGCAGGGATTACAAAGCCAGATTCATTCAGTTTAGCGTAAACCGGGCCTAGCCTATTGCCGCTTCCGACAACCGCGGTCTGGGATTCGAGATCAACCGTGACTTGGTTTAACTTACTCACGTCTATGACCAATACACCATCTCTGCCTCCAAGACTATAGCCCTCGTAAGAATGACCTCCCGATTTAGGAACCACTGGAATGTCTAACTGATTTGCACAATTAATTGATTCCTGGACATCCTCTACGTCTAAAACGTAGACTATGGCGATTGGATGAAGAATCAATCGACAATTGCAATTTGCAATACTCGAAAGGTAATTTGTACTTTCTGGATAGACCACTTCTCCTTTGACATACGTGAGACATTCTTTAAGTAAAAAAGATTTATTGGCGTCGAGAGGTTTTGTGAGTTCATATGATGGGCACAACACGCATTGAGGTGAAAAGGATAATCTAGACATTTTTCCATGGATAGGAGACGCGGAACCACAAGAAATTAAAAAAATTAGGAAAACAAAAAATATTTTCATGGCGATAATGAATATTCATGCTATACATGAAATTGAAAGTCTAGAATCCTTTTCGACGTTAAAAAATTGTATCTCGTTTCTGTGGCTTATTTATCACGAGAGGCTTTTAAGAAACCATGTTTGCTTTTTTTTCATCTCTAGACAACAAAGATGACTTGCGTCTTATGCGCGGCTTAAAAATATCGTCTAGGCTGCTGCGGGAAAATTAGAATAAAGCCACAGAAACATTTACTGAAATTGTTTATTTGTTACTTTACGTCTGCATCCACATACATACAGTATATAAATTCTTTCTAAGCCCATGTAAATATATCGGATTTTTTAGTTATATTATTTATCGCAGATTTTATTCTGCAGACCAGGGATATGCAAGTCCATGTGTACCGCAAAATCCATTAAAACTTAGAGGACACACATCTGACACATATAAACCAACACGGGATCGCCTATATTTCGTCAAGAAGCAAAGGGTGATAAAATAGTTTTATTGAATTCCAAATTATGGTACCCTTTTATTGGTTTGTGTGTATACATCTCTCGTCGGATTACGAGATCTGAGATAATACCATTAGTGCCGGTTATCATTTAATGGCGTGATTCATGATCATCAGCTAGTAATATTGGATTAGGCTTGGATGTTTATTAAATAAATTTGACGGTTTTAGATATGCAGGCTGGTGCGTTTGCTCAATAGTCCTGCGTATATATCCGAAAGTTCTGAAGAGCTTATGGATATGGAAGTTCCAATTTTGCGTTGACTATTGATCTGAAGGTTGTAAATATAAATTTTAATGAATGGAGCGATAAAGAAAAAAATGTAATGAAGTTTATTCTTGTTTTTAAAAACAAATTAAGTGCAAAGGACAACTAAAGTTACCAAAAATATTAACAAATAAAATTTTTACGCATATAAAAGAGACTCTTTATCTATAATATATTAAAAATTCATCTAAATAATATCGATGGTTATTGAGAAATAAAAATTAAAAATATTATTACTAAATATAGCAGGGTAAACAACCAATATTATTATACATGCCATTAGTAACAAAACTTTACAATAACCATTAATTCAATTTCAAATATAATAATATCATTTAAATTTAATAAGATGTCAAGAAAACAATTTTTAAAAATGTAAACAAATAATTATCATTTCTTATTTTAATTTGAAATTTGATTTTTTCACAGATTATAAATAATCTTTTAAAAATTTTATTAAAATCCAATTAAAAATTACATGCTAAATAACTTTTAGCTATTTGTTTTAACAAATAATTAATAATTGTATATTATTTTTTTAAAGTAAATAAATACTATTTATATATTTTTTTAAAGTAAATAAATACTATTTATATATTTGAACCTGTGGATTTATAGTGTAGTGGTTAGCACTCCACAGGTCAGATCACAAGATACCAGTTCAACTCCAGGTGAAGGTGGTTAAACCGAATTAAAAATGATATCTGAGGCCATAACCTATAAGAGTCCTGTTTCCTATAAGAAGTCATTCACACACTGATCCAGTGGGATGTCAGGATTGTGATCTTCAAGAAAAAGTGTAAGGCAAGATGATCGTCTGGAAGTTGTATAATGGTTATCAAACAAGTTTTCAAGAATCAATTATACATTTGGAAATACAGACTGGGCTGTACTCCATCTTAACCAACCCAGTTAAGCCTTTTTCACTGTTAATTACTGAAAGTAGAAAGTTTTGAAGAGACATCAATACAGTGCCATCATGAGATAACACAGCTAGTCATGCAGTGAAACATAATACATAGGAGTTGTGCCCTGCTTGGTCAAATGACCCCTAGATTTGGTAGCTTACGCCAACTGGTCCGAATTTGGAGTGTCTACTAGGAGGTTAAGAATTGATTCATAGGTGGTGTCTTGCAAACCCACATTTACATAATGTCATATATTGTTTCTATCTCAGGAGAAAGATAAAGACAGAGAACTAGTAGCAGGAAGGCACTTTAGATGGACAGGGCCAATGTGATATACTAAAGTTTGTAGAGAAGATACTTGAGGTTTTAAAGATCATAAGGCAAGAGGCGTAACAATTATAATTGTATGAAGACAAATATAATTGTGATGATTTGTAATGAACTGTTTATTATCAAAATATTATTAC